GAGCTCGCCTCCGTATTTGAGAGGTTAGGTTCGGACCAAACTACCATGGCAATTTCTCATACTGAGCGGACGGAAGCAGATTAATGGGTGAGTTTTTTTTTTTTTTCACTTCAGTAGTATAAGAGAAGGGGAGCTACATCAACATTTTCGCTCTGCGCCTCAGAGGCAGAGCTTAGGCAAGGTCGCAATGCACCGGCAACCGGCACGAGGTCATCACGATCCGGTGGCAATTCTCACAAGGATTACACGTGTCCGATTAGAATCGAGGTTAGTAAGAGTTTATGCAATGCGGTCCCCTAACAGGCTGCACGACGCGGTGCACATGCACTAGCGCAACAACACTATGATGTGAAAAACTAAAAAAACGTGGGTAAGACGATGCAGCGCCCGCCTGCACGACCGGGGCCATTGGTGACACAAGCGGCCAGGGCCGTGAAGGCAGCGCGGCGCCCTATCCGACCGGGTGCAACACTATGATGAGGAAACCTGGAATCTATGGTAAGGTTAGCGAGAGACAATGCGATGCAGCGCCCGCCTGCACGACCGGGGCCATTGGTGACACAAGCGGCCAGGGCCGTGAAGGCAGCGCGGCGCCCTATCCGACCGGGTGCAAATGCACTAGCGCAACAACACTGTGATAAGGAAAACTTAAAAAATGGGGGTAGGGAGATGCAACGCCCGACCGCACGACCGAGGACAGCGGCGACACGTGAAGGCAGCGCAGCGCCCTAGCCGACCCGGTGCAACACTATAATGAGGAAACCTGGAATCTATGGTAAGGTTAGCGAGAGACAATGCGATGCAGCGCCCATTTGCACGACCGGGGGCAGCAGCGACACGAGCCCGCGAGGTTAGTGAGAGTGAGGGCATACTACACGACCGCGCAACACCACCGTTGCAAGGGAATCTGTTGTAATCAAGGCGGCTAGGACGAGGTTATCGATAGTCCAAGGCGAGGACAGCGAAACACATTTAAACAGAACAGCTGCAAAAGTGAATGTGGTTACACAATGACACACCCCAAACCCACCAAAAAACACACTGCGACTTGTAGATCTAACAAAACAGCTATTTTTGAAACGTTTTAATTGAAATGCGATATCTGAAACCACAACATTTCCAAATAAAACGTTTGAAAAATGTTTGTTTTTATTTCAACTTTCAGGGTATGTGTATGCGCACAATAGCATTAATATGTGTGCGGCAGATAGGACAATTCCTAAGATCTACATTGCACTCCCAGCAAATTGCGTAATGGTTACAAGGCAAGATCGCAAAACAGCAGTTATTTACGAAACATACTTTACACTTTATCTCAACACTTGACGGAGTAGAAAAAAAGGTCGGGTCGGGCTCGGCCTTGTTCTCCTCGGCACATGTCTCAGACCACTTCGAAGCGGCCCTTACAAACAAAATTCCCTTATGCACAAGAACAAATTCACAAGTTGGAACAGCCTTAGCATGCATTTTCCACAGATCGCAAACAGCAATTTTGGCATGAAGTTTTTCAACCTTCCCTCCACAATGATGGCAAAGTAAAACGTCTCCATTTCCGCTATAGAACCAGCCAGCTCTCGCCAGATCACACGGCTTCAGAGCCAATCCCACCGGCCACGAATCAAATGTCTTCATCCTCGACTCATAAAGCGCATATTTTGGATATAGCGGGTATAGCTTTTCAACGACTCCGAGAGTATCCAGCGAGCTTGCCGGTACACCATCAACCCAACGAAAGCCAGGACCAACATCGGAGTCCTTCAAAGATGAGCCTTGAATGGGTATGTTATTAACAGGTAGGCCCCTCAAAAATTCACAGAATGGAGACCACTTCAGATGCAAAGCAAAAATGTCACTTTCAGACCCAACACCAAGTAATTGAAGAGAACACGAAAAACAACGCAGGCGATTATTGAACTCGTGAAAAAATCCGTTGGCCGCAAGAATTGCTGGACTCATGCTTGCTGGACCAAAATTATGGAATGTGGAAAGGCGCCGAGCTTCAGAGTACAGACCGCGGCGCCACACCGAGATCGGGCCAAGACGTCTCGCGGTCGCCATCGGTGTAATACTGCCTTTTGCATCTCACCACAGCGAGTCGCGCAGGGCACCGCGGACCGCGGGCCGCCGGTCCCCACTCCAACACACGGCTGGAAGGGGGAGCCCCCTCCAGGGCGCGGATGCACATTTGCTGATTCGCCAGGTCCAGACTGCTACCACCCCCAAAAAGTCCGCGTTAGAGATGTAAGTGAACGTTCAACAGTGGCATATTCGGACACATCCCAAACCCCCTGCACACACCTCTCCCAAACCCCCCATCCATTTTCCGAAGTATATATGCCCCAGGATCGGAGGGCAGCAGTACACTTCACCAGCACTCCAGCAGCCCTACCAGCCCTCTGGCAGCCCAGCGCCATACAACCGCCATCGCCAAGCTCTGGTCCAGGACTCCAGCGCCGTCCCCAGGACTCCAGGACCCCGCCGACGACGCGCTCCAGGACTCCAGGACCCCGCCGACGACGCGCTCCAGGACTCCAGGCAGATGTAAGTAATAAATTGCACCATGCCAGTGAGCCCCCGCCCCCAAGTGTGTGCCCTGCCATGCCAAAACAAAAGTGCGTCAGAGTGTCTGCCCAGCCCGCGGTCAGGCTGGTGTCTGACGCGCCCGGTGCGTCAAAACAAAAGTGCTTCAGAGTGTCTGCCCAGCCCGCGGTCAGGCTGGTGTCTAACGCGCCCGGTGCGTCAAAACAAAAGTGCGTCAGAGTGTCTGCCCAGCCCGCGGTCAGGCTGGTGTCTGACGCGCCCGGTGCGT